CGCTATTTTCTACGGTCGATCTACGATGAACCCTGTGGATTAGTTCTGAACTCGTTGGAAGAACCTCGATTTAGCCTGAATCAGAGACTGAACCTGACCCTTTTGTTCTCGTAATTTTTTATTTTTTTTATTTTTAATTGGAGGAAGTTCTGAGATATTGGGTCCGGTATTTTCACCAAGTTGGTGGCTGCAGAGAAGTGGATACAGTTGGGTCCACGGTATTGAAAATTGACCAGGATTACGATAGGTAGGTCATTGATGGTAGTTAAAATTTTTAATCAAAATAAGACCCATTTAAATCGACACATTTTCACCAACAAGGTACAAGTTTCAAGACCCCACAACGAACGATTTCAAGATGATTCCAGCGAAGTGACATTTATTACACAACGACCTAATAATGAACAATTACTTAATGTACAAACTGTCTACGATGCACTATCGATAAAACATTTTAATCGAACCAAGGAAATGCTTACACTTTTATTAAATTCACTGTGCACTGAAATGTATAATGTATTCTGTCAAACGTTTGCGTTCCACCGTTCTGTGCTGCGATAAACGAATTAAAAGAAAAAAAAAAAAAAAGAACTGGCAACAGGGTGCTCGCGATATCCCCCAAAGACGAGCGAGAACCATTGTTTGTCGGCATTGTTCGTCTCCTTTTACGGAGCCACGAATTCTTTTGCGTCTCCGTTTCCCGGCGGAATCGATCTCGATTCCTCGGGACGGGCCATTGAATACAAATCGATCAGGCATCGCCTATACACGTCACAGAAGTTGGATCCACGACGAAAAACCCGACTGATTTACGGCAGAGCCGCGACGAGACCGATGCATCGCGACGTCGAATTAATAGTTCCCCCTTGGATCAGCCCTCTGTTTTGGCATCCGATCCACGATGATTTACGATTATTTCGAATAATACGCCGTGCATTTCCAACGTTTCTGCTCGATAAGGTTCCTGGGATCTGTTTCCGCGCGATTTCACCCGAAATTGATACAGGACATCGCAACGAATCGATCAGCGAATTCTAAAAATGAATTACGGAATTTTGAAGTTTCGTCAGTCAAACGTAAGTGGCAGTGAATTTCGATAATTTTTTAATTATCCGTCGACTATCCACCGAAATGTTTTATTTTTAACGCGTCCATAACGACACTTTTCAGAGACTGGAAACAATATGGCGGCCGATTGAAACGGAAGGTCCGTTCCCGCGTGAATTTGTGTATCTGGAATTGATCCTAGAAATTGCGACAAGTCGATCAACGAACTCAACCAATGAATCACGGAATTTTTACGGAAAACGACAGTGATCTCCGTTAATTTGTTAACTATGGTGGCCGAAATATATTCATTTTTCAACGCGTTCTTGAATATAGTCTTCGAAGAGAAAAAACAAAATGGCAGCCGATAGGAGTGGAAAGAAGGTTCTGTTATCGAAAGAAAACTTGACAATTTCGTTAGTACAAAATATAAATGAACGAATAAAAATGCTAATTCTAGAAATGTTACAAACAATCACAGTAATTCGTAATTATTCAGTTCCGTTACAACTTCGTTTAATTTACTCCAACGAAAACATCCATTAACCTCTGCGACATAACAAAACTAGCCACCACGAATATATACATATATATTTAAATAATGCATGAAAAAATACTTCGAAAAATAATCGATCAAAATTAATTCTTACCAGAAAAACGAATGGTTCGTTTCCTCACGGAATAATCGACATCGAACTTGAACTTAACCTTTAGGCTTACCGAAAATATTCCGTGTCGCCGTTACCTCTTCGAGTTTGCAAATGAAGCTGTAACAATTCAACGTAAAGAAAAGAGAATACAAGAAACCACTGGCTTGTGAAACACATCTTCGGGTCACTGTTTTCCCGATGAATGGAATATAAACATATGTAGCTTGACCTTCCGTCGATTCTCGATCGAAGATTCGTGTTCGACCATGCAAATCGTCGAGTAATTATAAGCGATCGATGGAATAATACGCTAATTGGCCTCGATAAACAGCGCGAATCCACACGACTCAGGAGTTCGTTTTCTCTCTTTCTCTCTCCCCTCCCCTCTCTCTTTCGGACGCTGATCGTGAATCACGATTGTTCACGGAACAGTGTTACTACAAGGAAGAACTAACGTCCGATCGGAGATTACAGGGTCTAACTAACGATTCCATTTGCTGATTGGCCGTCGAGCACCGACTGCCTTAACCCCCGGGGGAATTTTTATCGGGCCTCTCTCTGCTAACCACGAGAAAGGCCTAACACGGACGCTGCCCGATAAAACCCGCAAGGTTACCGGGCCTGCAGCACGCCAATCAATTAAGATCAATCGACGACCCGAGAATCACCTTTTTCTCTTTGACGCCCACCCGTTTTTTTTTCTCTTTTTTTTTTTACTTTGCAGCACGGTCTCACGCGCTCCAGGATAAATTGCCGATCTGACCTGGACAAAAGTACTATTTCGGTGATCATCGGGAAAATCCTTTGACTTTTTATTCTCGGTCGCTTGGAAAGGTTTGGAATTGAAAACTGAACCACACTTTTAGAAATTTCGGCATTTCGTTCAACTCGCGACAAAGCTTTTTGCATTTCTATTTATAATAATTTATTTCTAAAGGTAACTGATATTCATGGATTTTTTGTAAAAAGGAAAACAGTGTCCACAGATTCGTGCATAAATCTACATCGTAAAAAAAATCTACATCTGTTAATACTCTTTTTATCCCTGCCCCACTTAATAGGGGGGCTATTGGAGGAAATTTTCAGTTGAATTCCCGTTTTCCGTAAGTACAGCCATTAAAAACGCGAGTTCGTGTAAGTCTCAGCTGTCGAAGTTTGCAGTTCTTTCGTTTGTCACGCGATCGATTACAATATTTTCCAGTTACGGTAAAGACACGCGTAATTTGGCGAACACAATTCCATCGTTTTATTTTCTTTGGCCCCGTACGCCACGGCCCCGTTATTTATGTTTAGCTTTTACGAGAGGTCCGCCCGTAATTCTCGAGTCGCGAATTATTCTTTACGATATACTGCACAGGCGTATCTGTTCGGCGAGCGAACTGCATCGTTTGCAATCGGGTCTCCATACAGTATCGTGCAAAAGTGAGATCGGCTCGTTTAAGATATAATTCTGACCTTCTTTGAAACAAACGTTTATTTATATAAAATAATATTCACGTAAATTATCAATATTTATCAGATAAGATAATATTATGTTAATATTAAATAAGATTGTTCATTCTTAGTCCTATTACATTGTCTTCGGAGAAATTATGATCAATTAAATAACGAAAGTTGTCGGTATCACGATATAACGATTCGAAGCCAGAAGGATTTTGCGGTGTATGTCCAGCAACAGCAACGTCGGAGGGAAGAAAAAGGGAGAAAGGGGACCTGGAAAAAATATTGCTAAAAAGCGTGCAGCCCGGAGATCATTTCTGGTTGGAAAAGTTTTACGAGCAAGACGCACACACTGGTGTGTAATAATAAAGACGTCAGAAGAGGGGGGGGGGGCGACCTTCGTAAGCTCGTAATTTCGAAAGCCGCTTAGAATAGCCGGAAAGACGATTACTTTGAAAGACGAACTAATTGAGACCACGACAGCCACCGCCATTGAAACCAAGTGTATTAGACCGGATGGAATTGACCGCCTCTCTTTAACGTTGCGGAGGAACCGACGCTGGGGACGCCATCTTGGTCTTGACATCAATTTAAAAATTTTGTAACAGACTTCTATAGAGGGTATTCCAAAATAACTTCGACTTCCGGAAACGAGGGGTTCCTGGGTTGATTTGAAACACCTTTTTCCTTACCGAAAATGTTATCCGAGGCTTTGTTAACGAGATATTAACGAAAGCTCGGATAACAATTTCGCTAAGGAAAAAATTGTTTCAAATCACCCTAGGAACCCCTCATTTCCGGGAGTAGAAGCTATTTCGGGACATCCTGTATATATTGTGGGTCAAACCTTGTAAAGGTTACTCGGAAAGGTAACCTTGATAACAGGTGTCAAGGTCAGGGTCATCGAGTGTGGGTCCATTTCGGAAGTTCACGTTAAAATTGTTCTCATATTTTAAAAAGGAAAAAAAGAGGAAACCGTGACCCATCACATTTTTCTTTCGCTTTAAACGACCCCCACGGTCCTGTTAAAAAAATTTTCCACCAGCAAGGAATCTTCAGGCAGCCTGTGTATCGAGCGCAAAGTGGTTCCCAGTAGCTTCCCAGGTCCAGCCAATAGTCTCCCCCAGGGGGCCCCGAGCACAATCACGGCGTATTTCACGCTGCTAGAGCTGCCACACGGTTAATTTTCCCATCGGGGCCTGTTCTATGCGCGGCACGCAGCTGCACACAGTGACCTCCCCCTACACACACACACACATCGTGTGTCAGTTACGGGGCTCAACGACGGCCATTTAATGCACGGAGACGGCTGTTTAGTGCCAATGTCAAAACCAACGCTTACTTACGCCCGCCCACGCGCGTCAGGCCGTTATGGGGCCCTTCCTCCCCTCCCCCTCCCACAGTGAAAAATCCGCCTCATCGACGACTTGTTGCGCGGACGACACACGCCGTGTATAATGTGAGTAACGCCAACGGAATTGATGAACTCGTTGCAGCACGTCGACGCTGCGGGGACCACTGCCGGATGATCATAAATTTCTCAGACGTGGCCGACCTACACGAGACGTGGCGTCTCGAGTTTCCGCGTTTCCAGTTCTCCATGCGATAACGATAACGAGCCAAGTCACCTGGATGGTTTTGTTTTATATTTTTTTTCTTTTTACCTTAGGTACGTGCCTCGACGTCGCCATCGACGATGATCGTGTGTGTCGGTGCAAGTCGTGTCTGGACAGTGACCCTTTTAGGCCCCCCCCCCCTCCTCCCCCGATCGAAGAGGGGAACGCATGGATGTGACGTGGGATCAGAAGATCAAAGGGGGAGGAGTTGAATAACGATTGAGAAATATTCTTACTGCATATGAGAATGTTGGGTATGCTGGTACGTATGGAACACTTGCTTTCAGTTTTTTCATATGCAGTTTGTATAACGAGTAGAGGGGGACCCCTACTGGGATACGAATTTTCATTGGTGCCGCGGTATGATGTTGGGACTTGGTATGGTGGACTTTTCTTGGGGAATACCTGGTCTGTTGGAGTAGTAATTGCTATCCTTTTGGTTGCATCTTTGTCCTTCGTTTTCTGTACATGATGCAGTAAAAGCGTTAATTCAGTAAATGTATACCATTTCTTAGTCGATGTATGCAGTTACTAGTCTGGTTGGCAAATGTATTCACAAGGAACGGAAATTTATACTTTTACTAGCAAATGCCATGCATTTACATGTCTGATTTAGTAAGGCGTGCACAAACAAAAATGCATTAATTTCAATAAACACTTTTGCTGGCATTTCTTCGTAGAGAATATAACCTAACCTGACCTATGTTCTTGCATTTATTAAATAAGAACAATCACTTTTCTTAAAAAAGATCCCTAAACTATTAAATAAAGTGTGAAATTTCCAATTTTCATATATGTGTTCATTAAATATGCTAATAATATAATAATTAACAACTATATTAATAAATAATGTAGTTACGGACCTATTGCAACGTTTATTGTAATTTTCTTAACCCTCGAATGGTAAGATCAAGTCAGTCCACTACGACGGATACGACCAGGCCACCTTATCACTGAAGGTTTAACATTCAACTTAAAAATCTCGAGTGCAATTTCGTCGAATCTAAGTTCATCCTTTTATCAAAACAGGGGATGAATCGTCACCCCTTTCGTAAGCTTAAAAATTCACCAAAAATTCTCCTCGTAAAATGTCGATCGATCTTTACGATAAGGTTCGTCATTTCAAAAATCATTGGGGGTCCAAAATGGCGGCGTATCGAACAAAGTACAAACAAAAAAAATGCGAGGAGGAGGCAGCCGATAACAACAGGCCCATACCAGTGGAATGCGCGGCGAGATCGACGTCTCGTACCGTGGCCAATAAACATTGATTTATCGGCCCTGGAAATCGAGCCCGTGGTGATTTGTGATCCACGCCAGTTCTGGCCGCGCGCGCGCGCGCGCGTCGTTGCACCTCTCTCGTAGGGCCCCGTAGGGCCCCTCGCGATACGAGTGCAGCCGGGTGGGGACGCGTCTGGGTAAGTGCACACCGGGCATATCCGCGGGATCCTATATAAGCGGATGCCTTGAAGAGCTCACACTCTCATAACCGTTAGCTGAGCCACACTGGGATTATCCGGCAGCCTGGGGACGGGAAAAACTTGTGAAAATACGAAGGAGGCATCATCATCGACCAGTCACCACCCAGACGCCGTACACTGTTCCGTAAAACGGACCTAGACCAACATGATAATCGTGAGTGACACGTCTTTTTACATTGTCGGTATTTTTTCATGGGAAAGGAGGTCTTTTTTTTTTGGCCAGAAATGTTTACAAGTGGTAGGACGCCCTTCTTCTACGCCACTTTGTCCCCTAGTGGAAGCAGAATTATAATATTATAATTAATAATACAATCATTATCGAAATGAATAGAAACAGTATGAAGGAAATTTTTGCTGTGGATTTATGTAACTGATGGACGTATTTTACATCATAATTGTTTCCAATGAAACAATTTGAAAAACGACATATATGGGAATATATGGGTGCCACTGAACTTGCATTTAAATTAAGCTGATAATTTTAATATGCGTCTGCCTAAGCTAGTTGGGCAATAAGGGGTTGTTTTTTCATGAGAATTTTACTTTTCGGGGAAAATTATTCATTACCGTCGATGTTACTACTTATAAACGAGAAGTCCTCAATTCAATTTGTAAGTAGGACGGCAAGAAAATGATGTTCCTGAAACGGTTCACGGGGCCAAATAAGGGAAGTTTAATCCGTCCGCGTCACGGTTGTCATCTAATTTCCAAGTTTTACGAAAGCAGCCTCGGGAGAAGATGCAATCTGAATCAGCTTGCCCCCGAACTTGCAAGTTTTCAAAGAGGCCTCGTTCTCCGCCTATTATAGTTATGTTTAACTGCATATTGCCGTCCGCCTATTGAGAGACTATCATTAACGCCCCCGAGACGTTGAACGTCCGTGATCCACGAAGTTTCAAGGGGGCTTTTGCACGAGGAATTCTTTCGTCGATTCTCCAAGGAACGATTTAAAAGCTATCAAACACTTCTCCAAAGCCATTCCTTACAAGGTGCTATTTTATTCTAACGAAAGGAATTCTGTTTTTAGAGGTATCGATGAGCAGTTCATTAAGTTTCGAATTTTAGATAATATTTTGTTGGAGAATAAGTAGAGCAAACTCGAGAGTGAATCGTTGGTTTTTGAACTGTTCCAGAAACGATATTCCCTTCATCCCATACAACAGGCGATCCTGAATGATTCGTAAAATAATCCTCCAGGAACGCCCGCAACTTCTCGAGGCTTTGGCAGTTCGAAGTTTCGCGCGCGAGACGCCTTATTAATGCCGGTAAACGCTTCCGTGAAATGTTTCGAACATCATTTAACTTCCGAACAAGTTCGGAGTAGCATCGCTGTTAACTATCGATAATTGAATCAACGAAAGGCTCGATTTTCCGGGCTGGGAGCACAATAGATCATGGGGTTCCTTCTAATCGGTTCAGGTCTGTCACTAATAATACTGTGCCAATTTAACACCGTGGGACAAATTAAGTTAGGAAAATAAGAGACGGATGAGGGTTAACAGAAAATAAAGTTAACGATCCAGAAGTTATAAGGATCATAATTTCTTCCAACTCTAATGGAATTTAATCCGTGTAAAATTCCACTTTAAACGTTCACTTTATTCTGAATTTCTTAACGTAATAAAACAGTCATGTAATCTTTATCATTTTTAAATTTAATTAAGTGTACCAATGAATATTCCGCGATGTTTGTTACCAAACGGATGTTTTCTATATTCGTTGAACGTCGAGAAATCTAAAAGTAACGATATACCGATCGTCTCATTTCAAGTCTTATTAATCCAAGTTTCGAACAAGTTGTTATTATTGCTAACATAAACGACAAACAAATTAACAAAAGTTCCATATCACGGCCGATAGATCACAGTTTCTTCGGCAACAGTCATGATTTCTTTGCCCCGTTTGGGATCCATTCGGGCGACTTCCGGCGGGAATCGCGTGTCAAGTTTCCAGCGCCGTCCAGTTTTCAAATCCCCCCCGTGATCAGGTCAAACATTTCGACGATGTTGAAATATCGAGGAGGGTTGTACGAGCCGACGTTCCCAAGTTACATATCGACGATAACGCTCGTCGAACCGGAAGTTCCTACGGTCGACGCGGCCCCCGCGAGCCTGAGGGAATTTTCGCGATTGATTCAATTGAATTCGACCCCTTTCCCCTATGGAATAGGCGATGTAAAATTCTTCGAGCTGTATCGTCGTAATTTCCTCGCTGTACGGAGGAATTTACAATGGCAAACTTCATAAAACACACACAACTGGATGAAGAAAAAAAAAACATAAATAATTTTCGAAAAATCGGTCAAATGTTCGACTTGCTAGAGAGGCTCGAATGTTCTTCACTGTGTGTAAAGATACCGAGTGGAGTCGATTGAATCAAGCTTGTATGTTCGTTTCAGAGAATTCTATTTGGTCTACTACTAGAGCGAAGTCTCGCTACACCGATCGCGAATGTTTGGCTGAACCCCTTGGGATCTCTAACACCGTTACGACAGTTTCACGTACAGGACGGATCTGGGGGATACCATTATTCCTTTACCGGGCCTCATCAAGCGAAATCGGAATCGAGCTCGAACGGAATCACACGGGGCGGTAAGTTGTCGCGATTTAATCATCGTTTTGTTACTGATTAACTAAAGACCTGAATTTCCCTTTAAGGGTAAGAAAAATATTTGATTACACGTTTCAACTCGGTAGACTGTTTAGATAATATTTTGTTTGACAATTTTTTTTTAAATCTAACCCCATTTCTACATTTACTTTACGTTTGATGCGTAAAAAAGAATCACCAAATATCATCTTTTTTATTTTTTCGAATCCGATTTCTATCGATAATGGTGCTTAGTTCTCGCAGGAAATTGTCTAACAATCGAGTGATAACTTAACATAGATCTCCGTTAAGTTTGGTCTAAACTGAACACTTTAGAATCGTTTGAAATTTCCCTAAATATGGTGGAACGTTAATTAAAAATTTTCGCTTTTTCTTGGGTGATTATACACCTTCGAAGATTATCAGTGACAATTACCTTCACTTTAAGAGTTTCCGTTTCCACGTGGGAGCCTGAGGTTTGTCTTCGATTAAAAATTAACAGGTTCGCTCGTAAGCAGCATTTCTACGCGATGACTCGTGTAAAACCGTGAATGGCACACATACCTTTCCTGAGCATCGCACGCGATTTAAGACGGCCCACGTTCGCGTACGATCACTTTAGAAAATGATGATCGATGGTGACGCAACGAAACGCCCAGGCAACGGACTCCCGATCCTTTATTCTTCGAAACGTCTCGCTTGCAACGGCGTCGTCGATTCTTTTCGCGAGATATCGGTCCCGTTAACCGCATACAGAACGCGCTAGAAAGCACACGGAACACACCTGAGCGCCTATCTAGTATTCGACGGGACTAAAAATGGCAGGAAAATGGTCATTTTCAGGCCCAAATTTTTTCACAAATGCTTCCGATGACAGTTGATAGATCGTCACTTACTAAACAGAAAAGTACACCGTGACAAACCTGTAAAACTTAGGGGTTTCGAGATGGGGTAAATAAATCGGTAATTAAAAATTTTAAATTCGTAAAGACTAGATGCCAGTGAATGATCATTAGGCAAGGAAATGTAAATTATATATTTAAAAAATATCAAATGTTTATAAATGGGGTGTAGGTGCATATTTAATATCACATATTTTTAGTTCGATAATTAAATTCCTTCTTTTCCGAATTTTTTCTAATGCTTTCTTTGATTTAAATACAGGTTATTCTTACGTCGACGCGAACGGAATCTTGCAAACGGTGACTTATACCGCCGACGATCAAAACGGGTTTCGTGTGAGCGCCAGTAATTTGCCACAACCGCCGAGGAACGATCTACAGGCGATCCAGGACACGCCGGAAGTGGCGGCCGCGAAGAAGAGCCACTTGGAGGAGCTGCAGAAGTTGCAGCTAAGGGACCAGCCGAACTATCAGTCGAACATTCTATCGTACAATGTACTGCCGCCGTATTTCAGTTTCGGACGGTTGCGAAACGACGACGAGAAGAACCTGGCTGTTCGAGAGATCGCGGTAAGTGATCACTGAGAAGGGAATTTAAACGATAACCTCGCGAAATTTGCATTTCAATCGTACGATAAATAGGAAACTCTGACGTTCGTTATTTTTTCGAATTGCTTGACCAAAAATAACAATGGAAAAATTTATCACTTCGATGAAGCTACTTTTCCAAATTGAAAATAAAACGATGGTGGTATATTGCCGTTCATAAGTATTAGGAAAAATTATACACAGGGTGTCACACCTATCGTGGGCAACTTCAATATCCCACTTGTTTTTGAAAATTAAAAAAAAATATATATATATTATAGTCGACAAGTGTCCTGAAACGTGTTCACAGTAAATCCTCGATAAGTGTTCGAAGACTCCCCGACTGAAGCCAATGATATTCGTTTCAGCCGCATACGACCAATAGTTTACAAAATATTTAATGTTCAGTGACGAGGCCCTTCGAGCATTCATAAAGTATTTACTGTAATCACTATCAAATGTTACCATATATAAAAACTTCAAGAAAATATTACTAAGTGCCTCCTTTTCTTTCAGCACACCACGAAGAATCCGTTCCTCCTTCCGCGTTCCGAGGCGGACCAGATTAAAGTCCCAAAACCGGACCCCAGTCTCGTGAAATCGCAATCACCGCCATCTTTATCGTCGTTGTCACCGGTAAGCTCACAGAGTCTAGGTCAACAGAACGCTCAAGAGCTCCAAGGAAATTCCCTGCAACCAGTGAAACGCGTGTCGCTCGACAACGTTCCAAAATCGACATCGCTTCCTGGTTCCTACGTGCTTCCGGTTCTACCTTACCGACTGCTCCACAGCGCCCTCCATCACACCCAGGACTCGCGTGGCCAATACGATTACACGTATATCGGCGATAATAGCGCGAAAACCGAGTCAAGGTCCCTTGACGGAACCACAAGAGGCGCGTACAGTTACATCGACCCGAACGGAATCGTACAACAGGTCCATTACGTGGCGGATCACAATGGATTCAGAGTCCTCGCGACCAACCTTCCAGAGGCCAAGTAAACGGAGACGCCTCCCCCCACCCCCTTGCTTGTGTGTTGGTAAATAACGCCAAGAGATCTGGGATCGTCTCTTTCGAGAGAAGATTCGTTCGATACCTCGATACGAGACTGATAATTCCCATTCCACATAGACTATCGATCGTAGGAACTACCCAGTGAACCAGAAATGCAAAATTGAATTCTGAAAAAAAAAAAATTATTAGGAATTCTCGAAGTATATTTCAAAAGAAACATGTGTGATAATTGACGAATTACGGTTAGATCGAAGTAATCTACGTTAAAAAACATAAATGAATTATTCGAAGTTTAGTCGGTATAAAAGATCAGAGAGTCACTTTTCACACTGACAACGTATTTAATCTCTCCAAACCGAAAAGTTCGTCATATCGAGGATCTCCGTCGGAGGCCGGAACATCGAAAGTATTCGAACCCTGCGAAATCTTCAACGGGCGATTTCCGAGAAGTTGGTTAATTATTCCCGCGAACAGTTCGCCGGGAGGCAGGAAACTTTCAAAGGAAACTTCTTCGATTCACTGAAACCGAGTAACGTTTCGAGACGGATGGTCGAAAGGAATTTTCTGAGGTAGAATCCAAGTCGACCTGAGATCTTCCGGTAACGCTCGTGTCGAACGTGTCCGCTCGAGGAGGAGGGAATTACGAAATCATCGAAATTGGAGTTTTGCACCTTCGAGGGTGCTGAAAGACCACCGAAACGTGGGGAATTTGTTCTCGAGAATAATTACGAAGGAATCGAGGAACATGGACGTTCCTTTTGGAAGAAAATGGCCTCGATTCGGTCAGGAACGCGATTCCAATGAAACTTTCTTAGTTTCTTTTCTTTCTTTTTTTTTGCGACTTTTCCAACGAACCGCGATTACGGGCGGGTTAACCTTAGATCGCGGCCAATCGTAGATTTATATCTTGGAATATGCGTTTTTTTTCTCTCTCTCGGTTGGTGCGGGGTAATTAAACTTTCTGAATGCTTTTCGAGTTCGTTCTAGGCGGCGACGGGAGCGCAGCGGTTACAGAGGACGGACTTGATTCGCATTCGCCATGTATTTTTTTGTTTTTTAATCACGACAGATCGATTCACAATAAATTATTACACCTACGAAACGAGCCCTTTATTCCTACCCATGTATTCCACTTTCTACTAGATTGTGACGTTTTCTCGAGTGTTCACTGTTACACGGAATTTTGTTTCCGATAATTGTCCAATTTAACATGAACACCTTCAATATCTCACTTGTTTTTGAATTTTCGATATCCTAATTATACTGGGTACCAGACTTGGGAAAATTTTACTTCAAATTAAAATAAGAAATAACTATTTGAATCAATGTGTCTCTGAACTTAAATTTCAATACTGTTATTTGGGAATAAAAATATTATCGATTCATTTGAAATAATAGCCATTTCAAGTAACGAATTATTCTGTTATTTTTGCGTTTCATATTTGGTAGAAGAAATAATGTATTATTCTTAAAAAAGAATCTTGCTGTTGTCAATTATTAATTAGAATAAAGGTACCAAAATGGCTATAATTCGGAAACAAGGTCATATCGGGTACACGTTAATATGAACTTTTTGTCTTATTTTAGTGTATTGAATCCATCCCTGCCCTGACTATTGTGTCCAAATGGGAATCGGCTTTGAGGTTGAATTTGAAAATTTAATGAAACCGTGAGTCCCGGTTTGTTTGCACGGATACCGTCCGTGGAATTAAATGAATAACTTCGCTTTGATCTGGAGCCACAGTGGGCCATGGAGCCACTGAACAATAACGACTAATTAATTAGTGAAGGCCCCCCTCCCAACGTGCGCATTGGTTCAGATCAACCGTTCGTATTTTTCCGGAAAACTTTCCATTAAATTCTATTCAGGTTTATCCGAAACCGGAGAATTTAATCAAAAGAGATGGTTGCTTAACCAACACGGCGATGAAACACGTTTAGATGTGTGTAAATTTGAATTTTGGTTAATTTGTACATTTTCGTTGATATATTCGTGAAAAATCGAAGGTGATTGAAGAACGGGAAATAGGAATATTTCAGAAGAATGAGAACAAATTTTAACCTTTTCTTTTTATCTCTTTTAAGAGATGGTAATTTAATCACTGCAATTTACTTGAACTTGATTTCTGCCACTTTTTTTTTATGGAAATATCTTCACGAGGATTTATGACGAATTTGGGATCGCGAAAGATTCGATGAATCAACTAACTAGAATAATCCTTGAGTATACAATGAATAATTGTTACTTTTCATTCGAACACTTGCAGAAAATATTGACGATACAAGTGGCGTTTAAGAAATTACGAGATATGGGGTTGCAAAATTGCATGAGTCTTTTGTTCAATTATTAATTAGAATAAAAATTAACTACACGAAGAATTAATTTTGTTTTTCATTGTAATACTCACAAGAAACTGAAGTCACAAGTGATGTTTCAAAAGTGAAGAAATACGAGTTCACAGAAACCACAAAGTTTGACGAGTTTCACTATCGTTCGATACACAATTCACATTTGCTAACTAAAATCTACGAAAAGTTGACGCTAGAAGTTTTTCCTAAGACTGACACGAAAGAGAAATAATGTCTCTTTACATAGTATTAAGAAACAAAGGAACTGGTCGTTTCGATTAGGTTCGTTCAACTCCGTGCTTCGCATTCCTTTTCGTTCCAACCTATTGAAAGCGTCCCGTTTCACTGAATGAGGACCATGACCTACGTTCACGTTGCCGAAGAATTCGCCAATGATGCGAACAAAAGGCGAGGGACCCGCTGATTCAGTGTGCGGTCGATACCCTGACCTGGGTAACCATTCTTTTTCTTCCATTCATCGTTGCCAAAAAAAAAAGTTTACTTCGTTCAGATACTACGCTCAATTATAATTGTAGATTGAAATTGAGAATTGTTATTAACTTAGAATGATCAATTTAAACAGTAGTTACATTCTGAAAAGAAAATAACAAATAAAGGTCTGTGAAAATAAATTTTGTATTAAGTACTAATGCAAAATGAGAAATAAAATATTAGTAATAGTAAACCCAACTGTCAATGTTAATCATTTTGAAGAAGTTGTGCTTTCAAAACAGAACTTCTATATAATATCTAATTTTATAGGACCTTTAAAATGTTTTGTAATCTGTGTCAGATTTATCGTGATAATTGAAAAATAATATTATTTATGATTCAGAAAAGTCTTCTCTTGCAGTATTGTATTTTAGAATTCTTTCGATTTGTTAAACTAAAAAATGCTTTAATATCACTTTTACCCGAATGTTATCACAAGTGAAGAATATAATTCATTATTTCTATTAAGAAAAAAATTTTCTTCCGAATTGAACAAATATAATTACTTATGAAATATCCTCTGTCGGTCGACACTTTGTTCTTCAAGAGTCTTCCGGTTCGAGATATCCGATCCAATAACGCGCACTCGATCATATTATTTCTTATCCCGTACCGATGATCCACGTATCACGTGGATTCCAAACAATATATCGAATTGCACAGAAGTATTGCGCAAGAAAAACACCGACACAGCATTAAATATCAATTTCCTTCTGTCAGTCGACGGTACGTGGATCACATTGGAGGATCGCCAGGAACCGTCGACGGGAACGAGGAATGGTTTATTTCCTGTCGACAGTAAAAGAGAAGTTTCCGCGAACACGGGCAAGAGCAAAGTGACCAAGGAAGGTTCGACGGCCAGGAACTATAAATAAATTTTACTAGCGCGTAACCGACGACCCACGTTAAGTTCACGGCCGGTTCGATCGCGGCCTGTCGATCTTGGTTCCGTTCTCGATCTAACGTTCCACCTAAGATCGTCGTTCGAGGCGTCTAAATTCTTTTCGATACTGGACAAAACCAAAAAATTACCAAGTTACAAAGATCGAGGAAAAAGTTGTTCAATGGGAGAAATAATTGAAATTGCCGAATTCAAGGTCAAATTCGAAGAAGTTTGTGCCCCAAAAGGTTATCCTATTGTACTATAACCTTAATCAGAGAAGAAACTATGAAATGTAACGTCCATTTTGATAATAAAAAAAAAATTACCGAATTCAAAAGATCGAATCTAATTGTAAATAACGATCACCACACGAAAGAGCTGTAACAATACTTTCCATAGCCGCATCAACGCAACTTTTACTCGACCAAACACTATCGTCGAGGGCACTCACACACAGGTCATCGAAAAGGTAACGTCTCCCAGATAACAGGAGCACTGATAAGAAGGTCACGCAAGCAACGTTCAGAGGCGAAGGATTTTCGGGGGGAGGGGGAGACACGATCGAATTTATCAATCTACGCGCAACGATCGCGCCACTTAGGCGTCGCGAGCGTTTCACGCAGTTGCGATTCCTCCGTTGCAGCCACGAAAATGCCGACGGCGTCGCGCGACGACGACGATCGAACGACCGATCCACGGATCGTCCTGCGACCCCAGTACACAGTGGCTGTGTTGGGTGAGAAAAACGATCCAGAGACAACACACGCGATATAAATTTAACTGGAATTGTTGTCGCGTTAATTGTACACAGCTGACTGATAAATCATTTGTTTTTGATACTTCATTCCTATCAGTTCGACGTGAAAATCGAATAACTTGCTCGACGAGACTTAGCCGATTTCCGTGAAATAATCAGAAGCGTGTGGTTGCTTTTCGTTGAATCCAGTGTATTTTTGTAATTATACTCGGTTTGTTTAATAGAGCGGTTAATCGGGAGTTTTCTACCACGTGAAATAGAATATAATGGAGAGGACTTTAAATGAAATTTAATGGGATTTTTCGTGCATTTGTGTCACGATTAATGCACCGATCGAAGTGGCGAAGTGTTTCTTATTTTAGGATTACTGAAATTATAATAGTGATTTAGGTGAAATTTACATTGGCTTATAATTTACTGCACATTTTACGTTAAATTGTACTGTACAGTGATTCCTCGATGAATGCGGCACAAGCAACGGCTGATATTAATCAAAACAGAATAAGTATTTTTTCGGTTTCTATAAGGGTGGGGCTTATATAGGGTAAATACCGGTATTTTACGTTTCGGTAAAAGTCCCTTTAATTAATTTAGAATACATTCAGTGCTGGTAGTTCTAGCGTTAACAAACGTGACAACTACCCCCGGGTCTCCCCCACGCACATGATCACGATTCAAAGTGTTACATCAATTATAATAATTTTACGCAATTTTTAAACGAAAAAAAAAATTGCAGCGACACTCACGAATTTTTCTACCGGCGCCTATATCGCATGGACCGCTGTCGGTCCGCCAATCCCGAACCAAAATGGCGGCCAGGCGAGCGAACAGGCCGTATCCTGGATCTGTTCGTCGGTGGCTTTGGGCGCCGTGGCTGGTAGCCTGCCAGCGGGCACGATCGCAGACAGGATCGGTCGGAAGAGGAGCATTCTGATAAGCAGCCTGCTGTTATCTTTATGCTGGTTCGTTGTCGGGTTCACACGGACCGAGCTATGGTGGGTGGCGTATCTTTATTACCCTCTAAATATTAATGGCTTCTGCTCCTCTTATTAGGGAGGTCCTTTATTAGGGATTTGTAGCATCTGGCTCTCGGATTACGTGACACTTTGAGACAGTTTGTGTGAATCGTTGCTACGCTTCCTCTTTCCCAATCCGATTTTTTACTGTTTCGACCGCTCCAGTTTACTAGCTATCTGTTAAATTTTGCCCAATCTTCTATTGTATTTATCTATATCGAACGTTAAAAGTTACTATAAAAATAACACCGAACTAATTTTGTTTTGGTATGTTCATTGTGAAATACGAAAGAGTTATTTTATAATAATGTTATTCACTATATTTATGATACAGACGCCTCTCGATTATTGTCTGGCTTGTTCTACACGATTATTGCCCAGGCGTTATCCCCACCACTGGGGATGGATTTGTTGCCCCTCCGCCTTGTACGAGGGTGTGAAGCATTTCTTCCTATACGATTATTGTCCTGGCTCGGACCCAAGTTCGGGACGATAATCGAAAGGAGTCTGTATGAATGAATACTCTAAAAAAAAACTAGTGTTATGAGTTATGTTAATTGTTCGAGAAATCTGATTGAAAATATTCCTGTTCAAGGATATTCCTAGCCCGTCTCGTGGCTGGCGTGGGTTGTGGCGCGTCCTCCATTTTGGTACCACTCTACCTATCCGAAATTATGGAGGACACCGTCAAAGAATGTTTGGGGACGATTTATCAGTTTCAAATCGCCCTTGGAATTCTATTCACGTATGTTATAGGTAAGTATCAATTCAACAAAAAATTCTTTTGGCTATGAAAATATTGTAGTACCTTCGTTTGGGAACGTAGAATATTAAAGAATCGTAATTATCTAGGTTTCAGTAATAATTGGACCGCGATTGCGCTTCTTTGCGCTTTGGCACCGGCGGTACTTTCGATCGCGACTCAATCGATACCAGAATCGCCTATGTGGTTGATCAGACAGCGTCGTCAGACAGTGGCTGAAGGGATCGTATCGCATTCCAGAGGGAAATGTTTAACCTTTGAACTGAAGAAACATCGAAAAGCGTCGATCATTGCATTTGGTAAAACATCTTTCAGTTAATTTCGATTGTAGCGAATCGACTGCATATATTTAAGTTCGGCTCTATTCGAGGGATTTAAGGAATGAAATAAGTTTTAATTAATAATCAATCATTACTTTCACGCAGAAAATAAAACAATTACACTGTTAAACATTATTAAAGTTGTCAGTGTATTGCATTTTATGGATCCCACAAATGCATAAGCATTTATAATAATGATCTATAAATCAACTCTACTTTCAACCATTCAAATTCAAACTCAAAGTTTACTTTGCAATACTCGAATTCAAATACTGAATTTCCCTACTTGGTAGCAATTCCAATTTAAATTTATATTCTTCTAAGTTTTGAAGATTGAAACGTACCTACAGTATTCAAATTCTAAATCCTGATGCTCCAATTAGAGTGTACTAATCTATGTTAAAAAAAAAACTAAATCATGATGCTTCAAATTTGAATATTGAAATGTTGACTTAATTCTGGTTTAGACACAAAAATCAATGTACTATTTTCGCTCGATTTTCAGGCACGATGGTCTTCCAACAGCTGTCAGGGATGAACACCCTTGTATCGTACGCAACGTGGATATTCCAACATATACGGATTCCATTAAGCTCGACAACCTGTTCGGTTATCACTGGATCGATGTACCTGATCGCGACGATGTTCTCGAAACACCTGATCGATCGTATCGGGCGGAAACTGTTGCTTTTTCTCAGCTTATCCATCATGTCCGTCAGCATGTTCGTTTTGTCCGGTTACTTTCGTCTCCAGGTAAATGCTTTCACCCCTCCCTTTCACAATAAAAGGGAACAACAAGCTCTTTAGGGCTCGATTTTACTTGAACGTTATGTCTATAAAATATTTCAAGAAGATTCATTCCATTAAATAACTATTTCTATGGATCGTACATTATTTCCTGGAAGATAACCACTCGAAGTTTGTAGCAGGTCATCGGAAAGATCAAGAGCTTGTTAAGCAACCGTGCAAAGTTATTCGTTTCGAAATAATGATAGCTTCGGCAAAATTCTCGATAAGTAAAGACAATACTGTTAATAATAAAAATAATTGTAACTCTGGTATGGTAATTCTATCTATCGTAATACTGTTCAATTAATCGGTTATTATAAATAATTTTGATCAATTATTGTAATTTACTGATAGATTTTTTTAGTTGTCAGTAGACCGCGGATGTTTATGCTGTCATAGTAAATGTTAATATAGAAAATGCAGCAATATGAAGACTTTAATAAAACTGAATAATATTCATATATTATTACGAACATAATAAGACATCTAGTATAGGAAAGAAATTTTTATCTCAATTTCATATTCATAAATTGTGGTCAAAAATTGTGAATTTGATCGACTGATTTGTTGTTTCAGAAAGAACAAGACGTCTCGCGTTTCACGTGGTTGCCATTTTTGTCGCTCGTAGCGTTCGTCGTCGCGTTTGGCGTCGGTTGTGGCCCGATACCGTGGATCCTGATCGACAGAATATTCCCGGACGACGTGAAAACGACCGCCATCGCCGCGTGCACTGTGTGCAACTGGACGTTGGCGTTCGTGGCGATGAAATATTTCCAAGATATGGTGTCGTTTATGGGAATCTCGTCGACGTTCGCCGCATACGGAATGGTCAGTCTGCTTGGTACCGCGTTTGTCGCCATTTTTGTACCGGAAACGGAGGGCAAGAGCGACTGGTTACTGTATCTAGAAGCTCGACGAATCCACGTAATGAAACGAATAATCGAAATTTCATTTTAAAAATGAGTAACATCTGAAAGTCGAGCGAATTTCAATATACAGCACATCATGGATGAGTGTTCGAAGACACAAGTTTTTAGGTTGAAGACTGTTAGTTTAAATAGTAATGTATAAATTAAGTATTATAAGAAAATTGGTGGCATTTTGTAATCACCCCTCAGGAACGGTCCTGGCTTTATTGTATTTTTAGAAAAAGTTCAAAAACGTACCGATGAAAATTTTATTCGCACGTACCTGGAGCCCACAAGATGGCCGCTGTCGTCACGCGTCCGTCTGGAACCCAGAAGAAATAAGCGACGCCGTCGGATGTCAACGATCATGGACCTTTATTCGCATATTTATTATCCATTCGTTTTCGTTACGTATGCAGACGATATATCACATAATACAATGGACCGGGCGCTGAGATTCGATAGCTCTCGGTTTTACGGTCGTCCCTCTGCCCCCTCGTCGCGTGGTATGATCGGTAAATGCCTTGGAAAAAAGTCTTGAACCGCGTCCGTACAAAAATCCCGAATAATTTCTCTGACGTTTCGTCTCCCAACGCTACAGAGGGCTTTCGAAATCCCCCAGGGTACAGAATTGTCCCTCGAAACGTCGATTCCACGCCACCCTGTAGTAGAGGTACTGGTACCCGATGACTGGTTACCATACGATTCTCGATAATATGCTATATTTATCGATCGTTTCAACATGAACAAATTATGGACTAACCTCGAGCAAGATCGACTTTCATACTCGCAGACCTGGTTTCTAAACAGCGAAAAACACAATTTACAGCCCAACCTGTAGATACTTAAGGGGGTATTCTATTGTAGCCGATGAAGAAAACCGATTTTCTTTTTCTTGCGCTTTTTTCTATAGCTTGGGGTCCTTGAAATGCGTGTTTAAAGGGTTATGGAGAAATTTATAAAATTGTCAAACCTATCAAAGAATTCATAATTTAAGATATAATAAATATACCAAAGAAAGTTCCAGTTAAGTCTGTAAAAAGAAATTCCGAAAAAAAAAGGTACACAAAATCGCATGTCACCAGTAAAAAATACCCCCTTAATTTCCTGCACGGAAGATCAATGGAAAAGCTGATCCCGAATAATGGAATCGTCGGGGTAACGCATATCGAGACGATCGGTTAACAGCACCTCTCGATCGCAAAACACCACAGAACACATCGAACACGCCGATCGTTTAACGCTTTTATCACAAATAACCAACGTGGCTTGCGGATGAAACGGTAAAAAATCTACGGAAACGACGGGATAAACAATGGGGGTCGCGTGGGGGTGCTGAGAGGTCAGAGGGACGTTGGCCAACTCTTTACATATACAGGGAGTATGTAACAAAAATGTTGGAGCACCCGGAAATGCCTCGTCAGGTGATTTGCAACAAGTTTTTCCTTAGCAAAAATGTGATCCGAGGCTTTGTTCACGAGATATCAACGAAAAACCTCGACCCAATCAGAGCTCGAGTCCGAACCGGTCAAGCTCCCTACCAATCGCAGCGCGTAACCAACGCTATCGCGGGAGTTCGGCCGGTTTGAACTCGCGCTCTGATTGGGTCGAGGTTTTTCGTTAATATCTCGTGAACAAAGCCTCGGAGCACATTTTTGCAAAGGAAAAACTTGTTTCAAATCACCTCAAGAGTCTCCCATTTCCGGGTCATCAACCATTTTTGTTACACCCTGTATATATATATATGTCGGGTGAAATGATCGCGTTGAATGGCTGGGTTTGCGCGTTTTAAACATAGCTTTGCGTACACACATACTTGTAGATATCCGACACACGCACTTATTTTTTGCGATTTCGAAAAACGTGTTACACCCGAACATACAGATCGAAGTGGTCGTCCATTTGGGGGGGGGGGGCATAATATAGTTCGAGGGACTTCGATCCACGCGAAGCACAGAAACTATTTACGGAAAGGTTCTGTTGAGTATTTTGTCGATAAATTAATCCGAACCGTGCACACCGTCACTGACATTCCCATTCGAAGTAGTCTATCTCTTTCTCTCTCTCTCTCTCTCTCTGTTCCCTTTCTCTCTATAAATCGGAAAATTGTCTCTAGTTAGATAAGACGGTCCCTGTAGGTGCACAAAGTCACTCGAAGTAAGACACCGTTTCAGAAGCTCGACTGTTTCCTCCTGTTATCTAACCTGGCCCCTGTTTGGAGCCGTTCCAGCTGAGCGGACCTATTGTGCTCCATTTCCACCGCTGACAGGTGGTGGTCTCCTCCCACCCCCACCCCAACCTAGCGATGATCGGAAGGGATCCTTCAGAAGGATTGTATCCTCACCTTGGAGGTCTTCGGGTCGAAGGTGACGCGCTGAGCGCCACTCCTGACGCGCTACAGTCATCTGGACTCGCTCTGCGAGTGCAACGTCGGTTCCGAGCTCGGGTCCGGGTCCGAGTCGTCGATCGAGACACCCTGCTGGGGCATTCGGATCGAATAACTTGGGCTTCGGTCGTTTCTACAATAGGAAACACGAAGGGCTCTTGGTATTGTCGCTCGTACCCCAAGCATCCGCACGTTATTCGGCTGAGTAATCGGGTTAGGGGATGCAGAAATTGGGGTCTATGGTCGGAGGCTCGAAATTGCGAGGTTAGAAAGAATGTTTATGGTAAGGATTGAATGTGAAGAACAAAAGAAGGTAATGTTATTAACAGTGACGAGGAATGTTGCAGGAAGGCCAAGCAGACGAGACAGTAAATTTTTGATAAGTGTTCGAAGGCTCCTCGGTACCGACAAGAAGAGGTCTCCAGGTATTAATGTGGATTTTTTAATGAGGTTTAGGATAGTCATGGAGCTTGAAATTCTGAAGCCAATTAGTCTATGATATATTTAATGTTCAGTCCCGAGAAGCCTTCGATCACTCATCGAGGATTTCCTATATGTGGGTATGATCAGACGGAAACTCTGTCGAGAAAGAACGTTTACCTCACGGTCAACTGACTTCCGTCGCTGCCGCGTCGAGTGCCATCTGTTTGCCGTTTGCAGAAGCATTTGCAGATGATCCTCTTGAACGCGAACCGAAAATCCTTGCTGAAGAGGGCGTAGATGCAGGGATTTATCGCGGAGTTGCAGTAGCCTAACCAGAAGAGCACGCTGAACACGGTCGGGTGGATGCAATTAGGACAAAACGCGCGGACCAGGTACATCGTGAAGAATGGGAGCCAGCAGAGGATGAATCCGCCGACGATTATGCCAAGCGTCTTCGCCGCCTTTGTCTCCATGCGAAACCTTCTCACCTGAACTCGCGAAAAACACTTTCTTATCCCTTCACAAGGATCTAATTTCGAATAAGGATCATCGAAGATACTCGAAGAATAACGAAATCGAATTTTTATTCGGAAATGTACCGCTGATTCTCTAAGTGCTCGCTCGTGATTTTCTAAGTGTTTGTTCATATATTCCCTATCTTATACGTGTTCTTAACGGCCTTTCAACTAGGATAGAAGATTTTCAAAGAAAATTTTTATATTGTTTGAAAAACGATCATCAGAATACTTTAATGTTTAAGAAACTTAAGTGTGGTCCTCTGTTTATGAGGTTCAATTTACGAACGAGGTAAAAAAATCACTACTGAAAAGCTATTCCAATCATCTATCTTCCAGATTACCAAACTGTGTGTGTGTGTGTGTAGTAAGGAAGTCAATGTTGATCTAATTGAATGAGTCCTGCAGTGTTCTTGTAAATATTCGGAAAAAAATTTTTAGCACCATAAAATTTCAAATAGTTCAGTACTTGAGCTTTTATGTTCCTCTTGCCCATCTTCACCGTTCTGGGCTTGTCCTCAGGGCCTGGCCCGAGCTCGCGCAACGACACTTCGTCCCCAGTCATCTGGCTTTCGCAACTGCTTCTTCTGCTGGGCCTTCTGGTGCTGCCTACTCTGTTGATACCGCCCACCTGTCGTGTCAAATTAATTTTCAATTTTACATATCACCGTTTTTTTCTCTAAATCACGATCTTCTGAAGACAAATCGTCAAATGCTCGAAGATGGTACACATCATACCATATACAAGGTGTTTCTGAACTGATGGTACAACCCGAAACGATATTTTGAATTACTGTCTAAAATAACTTGTCACCTATTGATTGTAGCAGAAAACGTTTTAATCGAATTATGTAACATTTTAAACGATCCATGGGATGGATACAATTTCCCTTACTAAATACATTTGGTCGTCAACAGACTCCCCGTAGTGTTTCTAACTCTAATTTGACACAGAACTGACGACTGGAGTGCCAAGAATTCTCATCCACGAAAAGTGCAAGCAAAACGTGCCAATCAATAAAACGCGACAATTTCGTATGCAACGACCTAATAATTTCTGTCAGATCCTTTTGTCCAACCGTCCGAAGAACGAACACTCGAGCTTCTGGTCGATTTCACGACACTATACAGGGTGAGTCATTTAACTGTACCACATATATTTACTCGTAAAGTACTTGTGTAAAAAAAAAATGTTTCACACGAAAGTTGTTTGATAGCGAACATACAATGTAATAATTAATTAACGATTCACTTTTTTTATCGAGATATATAAGGGTGACCTTGGGTTTTCGTATCAAAATGTGTAATATTTGACCCTTGAAGACTATCGAATGCTGAGTAAGAGTTGGAACGTTTTCAAAAGTACCTAATCGTGTACACGATCGATGGATTCCACGGTGGAAGGGAGGTTCAAGCAAAATTACCTTGAGATGCGTGCTTCTAGGAGTTGGACAGAGCTGGCTCTGCGTCTGCCCGTTGCTGTAGTGCACCGAGACCTGAGAGCATCTCGAGGGCGTTCTCTCGAGTGTGTTACACTTCGTATTCAGGGTCTCGGTGCTCGGATAGGAGACCGAGATCTTTATCTTTTCCTTCTTCACGGAGCACCGACTATTCGACTCCGGGCTCCTCGGGCTACCGTTGTTGCTGCCGTTGTGGACGCTACCACGGCCACGGTGTATCCTCAGGGTCAACCTTTGTTCGTCGAACCTGGCCGGAGAAAAGCAAAATCACACGTGCACCCAGACGCTGTGTTGAGCAGGGGAAGTTCTGCTTTCAATGAGAAATATAGGACAACGAGAACCGAATGCCGTCGAGACCGCCATTTTGAGAAACTGCGTGTTTTGAGGTTAGAGGAATATGGTTGTCTTTAAGATGAATGATTTTTTAACGAATAAAAAATTATACGACGTTTATATCATTGGGTTTGGGGAATGCAGTTGTATTCGAGATGGATATTTTGTTTTCATTAAGAAATGCAGGGTGGTTAGAACTGAGTATTGAATAGGCGGACATTTTGGGAAATGGACGGCCATTTTGAGAAACTGTACGTTTTGAGGTTAAGAGTATATGGCCCTGTTCAAGATGGATATTTCGTTTCAAATATATTTATAATTAATAATAGGACAATTAGAACTGGATACTGAATAGACTGTGATGTTGAGAAATCTTGAATCATGAGATTAGGGGAATATAATCGTTTCCAAGACAGCTGTCTCAGCTACTGAAATTTGTATTCGAACAAAGAATTACTCGTTGCTTTTTAAAATAAAAAGCATTAACGTCCACATTTTTAATCTATACAGGTTGTATAGTTTGACTTTGTTGACAAGAGTTAGACACTCAGTATTAGCTTGAGGTTCTAGATCAAAAACGTTGCAATTTACACAAAACACAATCACAACACAAACACAAAATACAAAGTAGTTTGATTTCGACCTCGAGTTAACCTCCTTTCCGCGTTCAAAACGGCAACGAAAATAATAAAAATACAAACAATATAGCTCAGTCTTCCACAAGAATGATAAAAAAAAAGCTAAAACCAAACAATCGAGGTAAATTGTTTCGTATTATTTTCCGTACGGCCAATTCACTTCCAGAAAGTTATGTGCGCTTATTGTGTAACTCTCCGTGTATGAACCTCTCTGAATCGACAAAGAAATTCCGTGGTAAACAATGCCGAAGCGGTCGAAAAAAAAACAGAAACTAAAGAAAGCCGAGAAATAGGCGAACGGAGACGTTGATGTGGAACAAAAGCTGCTACGCCAGAACAACCGCATTAAGAGGGAATGTGTAGCAACGCGTGCCGGATGCCGCTTCCGGTTCAACTGATCGAAAAGCTCGAATTCGACGAGAATAATGGTCGAACGTTATTGGTGTCCCCTCCCCATACCCCTCGCTTCCTTTTACCTGGAGCCGAGAGTTTTCGAGCCCTTTGTCGTACGGAAGCCTTGATTAATGGCCTTCGTCGTGGATACAGCAGCGTTGTATATTCTCCAGTAGAAAAACAGCATGACCAGCATCGGTATATAGAAGGAACCCAGTGCACTGAAACGTGGAAAGAAGCAAAAAAAAAATAATGAAACTGCCCTGATAACCAGTTGCGTACAGATTGCCAGTAGATTGCTATCAGATTGCCACGCAAACAGTGACAAAATCTGTCTACAAATTCCTAGCCATCTGTTTCCGAAATTTAGCCTGGGTTTTGCAGGCAGCTTGCTGACAGAATCGTAAAGCAGATTGTCAAAGACTGCAGAGTTCAAAAAAAGGAGAAAAATAGTAAAAAGTTCTCAAACACGAATATTGCATTTAACGAACGCGCCTGTTAAAAACTTTCGTTTGATCCTCCTGGCTCGTCCAGATAGCTAATGACGATTTTCAATGTCGCGCCGTGACGGAAATTGGAGAACGAAAGAATTTCAAGTGGAGATTTCTCGTGACTTGCTTAAAAAAACCGTATGCAGGTTACATCGACGACTACGATCGTTCAGTCAAAATTATTTTCTGATTATATAAGTTGATTTTGTTATTCTAGGTTACGAATGCGACAAAGTTTTTGCATCGATCTAATGTCACATTCATTTTCATTACTGGTTTTTCACTGTTAATCAGAGTTGGACGTGTCCATACGTAAGGTTGTTGCATAATAAATTGTTTTTCAAATTTTCTTCACATGGATCTAATACGATAATATGGATCTTACTTCGAAGAAAAATATTTTTGATTTCATTTAAAATTTATCTTCAACGAAATTTCAATTTGGAAATTTGAAATTTAGTTTCAACGAAAATGTCAATTTTTAAACTTTACTTCGGAATCTGAGATTTACATAGATTTCAAATTTTAATTTTGAAATAGAATTTTTCACTTTCACTTGAAATTTCAATTTAAAAAATTTCAAATTTATAGCCAATTAAAATTTACAACGATTGTTTTTTCTTACGAATCCCCACCCCCTTGATTATCGTTTCTTCGAACGAAACATGTCGGCATCGCCTCGAATAGACTGAAAAGAATGGATAATGCGTGCGTCGAAACGATCGTAAATTTGTCGGAGACTCAATGGAGCATCGCACACATCTACTCAGCGGCGGTTGATTTAGGTGGAGAGTCGCGCGTAAACCGGCCTCCCCCGGATTGATCCATGCGCTCGATCGCGATAACGGCCGGTAAGAATAGAAGCGAGCGGCAGTTGGCAGAAATTCAGATCTCGCTCTTGACATCGTAATAACGCCTGTTTCAGCTCTGGATGCGCTGAATTGGTACCAGTGGAATTCAATTACGTAAACCGATGAAGATTTCATTCACCCCCTCCGTCCCCCAACCCCTCGTTATTTCTACACACGCGTCATATCCATCGACGAGGAAGAATCACCTTTTGTCGTGACGATTTTTGTATGTATTCGTCGGTACGCTTCAATTAGCCTCGTCTATGGTGGCGAAAATTCTACATGGATATACGAGGACAATGGAATATTTCGATCGAGGACTGAAAATTTTGGTGGCTTCTATATAAGTTTTGGGGGCAACTATATAGGGGAGACCGAGGATAGCGGTCACGTTTTTAATTGACAAATTTCTTTGTTCCTAATTATTAAGAATTTAAATATATTCTTCGTAGTAACTGAAAAAGTAGATATTTGTGATTTTTTAAAAAATCCTAATGGTAAGTATCTGTTGGCTTGGTGTTAATTAAGATAATGTAACATGTGACAACCAGAACTCTGAAGTACGGATATTTCTGCCTCGAGAAATGTAAATTCAGAAACGCCCAATTTGGACATCTTAATTATAAAGTATCTGTCTTTCAGGCTTCAAATTACTGAAGTGTCTATTTCAAGAATCCCAGATTATCAAATTCCTATTTCCATTATAAGGAAATACCCAAGAGTTATTGCCTATTATCGAAGCAGATGTATAAAAATTTGTGTTCTTTATAATAAACTATTTTGCAATAGTCGCAGAGTTTCATTTAGTCATTCGTTTCCCATTAATCGAATAATTATCAAAATTCTCATTCTGAAAAATCCAAATTTCGAAATATCTGATTCAGTAACTGTTCGTTACGGATTTCTCAATTTTGCGAGACTCACCTGTAGACGACGTAACCAGCGTCATTGGTCAGCTCGCAGATCCAAGGACACGGTTTCACCGGAACTAGAATTTTCGTGGTGTTGAACGGGCCATTTTGAGGGAACGTCATGTTGTACGTCGGATGCGACTGCGGAACGAGCGACAGAAAGTAAAGGACAGCTGGTAACGAGGGAGGTGAATCGTCGGGGATGATTCTAGTTACCCGTTTGTCCTTCCAACCGACTAGGGGCGGGAAGCAGATAACGAAACTCAAAATCCAGACGGTGGCGACCAGGAGTCTGGCCCTCTTCGGCGACATGATCTGCAATTCGAAAAGTAATCCAAAATTTAATCAACTTCTTCCGTCCAAAAACCGTTAATTTTGAAATTTAAACTGTATTTTCACTTGAACTTTCAATTTAGGAATACGAAATTTATTTACAACTGAAATTTCAATGTTGAAATGTATTTTCAATTAAAATTTTAATTTTGAAACTTGACATTTACATTTTGGAATTTTTTCAATTCATTTTCCAGTGTTACAGTTGTTCGAAGAAAAGAAATCGTGATAGGGATCAAAATGGACCCAGCAACCGTGGTCAATACAATCATCATCAGCAACTGTACCCCTTTCAAAGAATTACGTGGCTGAGAACTCGCGTATACACAGTTAGCGACAACCACTCTGTAGATTAATTAATAATGTACATATTTCGAGCGAATGTCTGTTTCCAATTAGCTCCCTTAGTGGGGTTGAAATCTCAAGATCACAGATACGGCGCAGAGTCTTGCTGCGCGTGGCCAGAGTCGAGGGAGAATATCAATCAATTAAGCCATTGAAAGGAAACACTGGATGCCGAAGGGATGTACTCAGAGAGATGAATAAAGAGGGGGCGGATGGGGGTTGGAGGCCGAATGGCTTCATCGACCGTTCCGGGTCGTACACCTGTTTCACGAAATCGAATGATTGTTGGATGGTACTTGCCTGAGGATAACTGACTGGTCTGGTCACCGCTAAGTATCTGTCCAGACTGATGGCGCACAAATTCAATATCGACGCTGTGCACATCCACACGTCCACTGCCAGCCAGATGGAACACCATAGATCACCGAATATCCAGACCTTTGGCAAAAAAAAAAACACGCACAAATCATAAATTAAATCTCGTAGAATTATCTTCTTCAAATGGAAAGGAAGTTCTTTTATTTCGAAAGTTTCAAATCCTCACAGGACGTTCGCAAACTTTCATGTCTGGAGGAACTTGAAGGATTGGAAGCTAAATGAGGCGAAATCATGCTAAAGGAAGAACCATAATTTTACTATGCAACCTAGATATATCTATTGCATAAAATGAATTTTTAAAATATATAAGAATTACTTTTAATTTTTAAGGTGACAGTTATAGGGACACCGCTCGCTAATTAATTATTAATTACTTTTTTAATGGATAATTTCATGGATGGATTTTATATTTAATAGATAAAAATATTTTTCTGTTTCTAAATGAAAGAGATGTTAAATAATATTATGTTCTAAACTGACATGATTCCCTGGTTATACAACATGTAAAATAATTAAACGAAGGTTCCCTACAATCTTGAGGTGGCAGCAATCGGGACATCTAACCCTAGTGTGCGGTTCACCTAGTCTCTCCTCCTATGGTTTCTATGTTATTCGATATTCGAATATCCTTTTAAGTTACACAAGTTCCGCAGGAATCCTCGTTCCGACGATCCACCGATCGCACAATACAATTCTTTCGTCCCGTTCCCCCATTCACTATTTCAATCTCCCGTATCCCTTTCGAGCATCGAAACCAATACCGGCTGAAGCTTCTCCACCGCCGGTTATACCATCTCCAGGGCGCAAAGCTACCTCCAGAAAGTCGTCTCTCCACGCCGAGACGGGACGTGAATTTATATATGTAAGCGATGCGTTCTTGGAATTCATATATATTATCCTTATTCAACGTGGAGAAGGCTCCTCTTATGTACGCTAGAAATACGAGCAACGTTTATATTTCGTATCCGAAGTATAATCGACAGAGGCATTATAACGAGAGGGATATTCCAGACCATTGCGATCCGGAACTAAACAATGCGAATATTTTCAATTCATTTTTGGCCTTCGGTAGAGTTGAAATTCGTTCCAAGAAAAATATCCACGATTTTTTACAACGAGACTATTTAACAATATTTATGCTGACGTTAAAAAATTTTGAAACATTTTGTGTTTCCTTTTGTGAAGACTTTTGGAGATACCAGAGTAATATTAGAAGTAAGGAAAGTTTGAATATTACAAGTTCAATTGGAAAAATTAGAAGTCATCCCCTGTTCTTCGACTCAGCGATTCAATTATCGTAACAATCCAGTATTTTGTTAGTGGTAGGAAAATCTGTTATTTTTATTATATTTCTTATTATCCTGGTGTAATAACAGAAGTATGGTGTTGCTGTTAATATACCAACAATTTCTCATGTTACTAATCTATGTAACATTGTTAACTACAAATACGGTAGTAGCCATCGTGTTACTCCTAAGTCACACGGAAGCACCAATGTTGGCGTTAGCCAACCCCTTCAAGACTCTGATTATCGAAAATCAGATTCCCATTATGGGTCATCGTGACGCATGTATACCGAGCCATTATTCCTACCCACGACGGGAATGCACGCGGACGTGTCTACATATACGGTAACACGTTGCCATAATGGAGTAACGCATCCCCCTTCCCCCCCACCTGAATACACGCAAGCAGGTGAAGCAAGGGTTGCAGCTGATACATGAATATACGTGTGTGTTTGTGGAAAACATCTCGTAACTTTGAAATTTTTCAACAAATGAGAAGTATTTAATTCCGTTTTCCCCATCACTCCTCGAAAAACCAAACTTCATGTCGTCACTGTATAGATTAACCTTCGTATGACGTTAACTGGGACCATTTTGAACCGAGTCCTCAAGAATTTCATTAAATTCGATTGATACTGATAAATTTGGCAAAATTACGTATTAGAATATTATGTATTTGAAAAATTGGCATTTTGAAAATTGTAAGTATATGTATATCGGGAAATGATATATTTGGAAAATTGTGTATTGAAAAATCAGATACTTGGAAAACTACATATTGAAAAATCATGTATTTAGAAAATTCTGTATAGAAAAATCGTATTTGGAAAATTACGTATTGAAAAATTAATGCTGTAAATTGCAATTGGAAATATTCCTTCATTTACTTCCCTTTAATGGCTCTTAGCGCGAAGAAAACAATTTCCTCCGAATAATTTCCCACATTCTCTATTGAACTAAATCCAATATTCGAATGGACAAATACTTAGAAGGGCGGTATATATCTGATTTCATCAATTTATCGGATGATCCTAATTTCCACACGAAAATCTCAGTGCTCTTAGAATTCAGGGTATTTTTTTCCTGCCTCTGTAGTATTTCCTACACGAACCAACCACCTGTTTCCGAATTACCTACTCCCCCTTCCCAGCCACCGCCGTCGTTCGATTCGATTAGTCAACAGCCCTCCTCTCCCTCCCCAAGCCGGCAACCCCATCTCCCGGCGATAATAATGCTTCTCGGTCTGTTATTAATCCGACACCCCGTAAACGTCCGGATAAACGGCCGCACGGTTCGTTTCGCTGTGGAGTCGTCGATCACAACCCCCTCGGCTCGATTAGATTATTCGATAATAACGATGAAATTAAACGACGATGGAGGACCGTCGGGGAGTGAGGGTGGTTGGGGTTGTTAACGTGTACCAACGAACACGGACGATCTAACAAGGGGTTGGTATCGAGGCCTCGATCATGTAGTATCACGAGTACGACGACTTTCGATTGGTCGGAGATATTTTTCACTCGATTTTTAGAAGGGGTGAGTTTTTATTTCTGTTCCCCTTGCTTTTACTCGATAAGAGTTCGTCTAGTTCGAAGAAGGTTCGTTGATACTTTTTCCTAGTAATTTTTGTATTGTAGGATATTTAATGTTTTATAATGGTATTGAAACAATTATTGCGGTTTCGAATGTATGGAATTAATAGAAATATTCAGGATAAATCAAAGTCGAGCTGGGAATTATGCAGTCCTATAGAAATAATGGTACTTCTAGTTATACCGTTGAGTATTATTCAGTGGGTTAGTGGAGGGATGACGAGGGTGAGTTTTTCTCCTTGCTTCTCTCGTTTCACTTCGGAAGGGTTTATCGAGTTAGAAGGGGTTCCTGTGTTTCATTGGATGCTTATCCCTCGTCTTTGAATCTGTTAACCTTGTCAGTGATTTGTGTTTACAATTTGTAACATAACGAAGTCGAACGTTAAACCATCCCTTAAATAATGTAATTTCTTTCGTTGATTATAACCGCGCAAGAAAATATCCCCAGAATATTAATATATTCTATTAGTTAAATAATTTTTCGATCTCAAAAATGATAAAATATAAATTCATATTAAATCCCTAAAAAATGTTGACATATTTTTCTATCTGTTCAATAACTCCCATATTTTTTTTTGAAACTTATACCAAGAATCATGGAAAAAGAGATTATCGAAATTTTACGTGATCGACGTACACGCTGAAAGAATTGATTTTACACGACAGCCCGGTTATTTATCGAAGTAATTTCGTTTCTGAAAACGCTTCGGAAAGTGTTGTAGTTGATGTCTTTTTCCGGGCACATGATAATGGTCTCGGAAACTCGAGCAAATGCAGGGCGAAAATTTATGGTGAACGCAACGAAACCCAAGCGCTAATGGTGTTTAATTAATTATTCCTCTCGGGGTGGCCATTGTTTCCTTGGATGACTCTTCGAATAAAACAACGCTGTCGTTTGCATAAGAAAAGAAAAAATAACTAGGTTAAAGAACTGCCCATTAAAAAATAATGCTCTTGGAATTCTATATCGTGTTCTATTTTTTGTTGTTTATTTTGCTGTCTTTATCTTGAATAATTCCAAAACTGCGACAACTCACATTTATATTAATAAATCTACTATTCTTATTCCGGCTATTTTGTATGCATAGATCCACTTTTGTATTAAAACTCAGTGAAACAAAGAAAATATAAATTACAGTTATTCTTCTCTCGAGAGTATATTTATAAAATATTCATATTTTTGTAACATATTCTTTATTATTTCACGACAGGAAGAAGCATAACCGTTTTGCCTTATAACATATTATTCGTTTTCTTTTCAAGTCGACATGGAATACTGTCTACCTAGTAATTAACACTGTAACATTTCGAATAAATGTACACTTGCAATAAAAATAAAATTCCCATTCTATCTGAGAAATTACAAACAATAAAGCTATTCTGAAAAGTATTCAGTTGTCTAAAGAAAAAAAATTGTAAAGCAAGGGATTAAAAACTACGAGCGAAGAACACTTACGACTCAACCTACGGACACCTTTCGATTATTGTCCGGCTTGTTCTACACGATTATTGTCCAGGCGTTATCTCCACCACTGGGGAGGGGGAACCTGGAACCTGTCAAGCGCATACTTCGTTGCCAACCCTCAAAGTCGGGCATTTTGGATTGAAATTTTATTCGAATAAAAATTTGAAGAAATTTCTCCCTACAAGATTATTGTCCTGCCGCGGATCCGAGTTCGGGACGATAATCCAGAGGAGTCTGTAATACGATCTCGCAAAACATTATCTCCCGTCCATCGACGCTCGGTTACGCGGCCATAGTCGATCGAATATTCAATTGCCGGGAACAGAGTTTGAAATTTCGATGGGAGGAGGGGGATTGGAATATCGTTTCTACGAATGCTGTCGACGCGTGTGAGAGAGCACTCGAGAGACAGAGCACGAATCCGCCACTTTGAAACTGGCCGACTCATCATCGCCCTCCACGGCTCGATTGACGCCATTGTGTGCCTCGATCCTTTCTTGCCCTCCACCCCGAAAAAGGGATGATCGATTGCCGCGTGTACGAGGAAGAAAATCACGAATATTGAAGCGGAGATCAAAGGCTGACAGTTCGAGAACCGCGTGCGTTCACCCGTTCATTTCGACGATATTTAAAAAAAAAAAAAAAAAAAAAAAAAAAAAAAAAAAAAAAAAAAAAAAAAAAAAACGGTTTGCAGATTCATGTTCATATCATAAAAATCTATCACAAAAGGCCTAAATAGTGTTATGAAACGAATTTCCGATTCGTATTCAGCTGACAAACATCTATCAGAAACGTCTACTGAAAATTTAAAAATTTGTTATCTGTTAAACAGTATTATTTGTTCAACCGTACCTTGAAGACCTCCCACGTGGCGCTGAACGGCAGAACGGCCAGCCCGACCATCAGATCGGCAACGGCCAGGCTAACGATGAACGTGTTCGTCACGTTTTGCAGTTTGCTGGTGTGGTAGACCGCAAGTATCACCAGCACGTTCCCGAGCACCACCATCACGTTCACGATCGCGAGCACGATCAGGGTAATCAGGTTCCACGTGCCGGACCACTCGACGCGCTCGTACAAAGCAGCGCATGCGGTCGCGTTCAGTTCTCGCATTTTAGTTGGCAAACACCCTCAGCCCTTAGCGTCCGTGCGATCCTCCACCCAAAGGGCGCCGATGGACTTCCGTTTGAACGACGACGACGACACGAACTGTCCAACCGTGGAGCACGAAGACAACCGTCGAACCACCTGGACCGCCATCTTTCACCTGCTACATCGATCCTGCAGTCAATGATTCATGGGATCACCTGGTTACAAAGGAGAACCTCGATCTTCCCTAAGCTCAGACTTCTTTGGAGCGTGTTTTGGAATTAAAGTGACTGGAGGCGTACAACATCCCCTAATTAGAAGATTGCTACCCTTGTTTTTCATGAGTAGCTTAGCTCAATGTTTCCATCATTAGACTTCCGGAAATAAGATGGTAGATTGGAAACCACCTCTGTCTGAGCTGATCTTGAGTACTTGTTTTTTGAACAATTTTATTGTTGTTCCGTGAAAGGTTACGTACATCGGTGTATATATTATCTAATTTGATGCTTGATCTCAGTCTATTATCTTCTTTCGTCGGAGGTTTTTCTTATAGTTACCTGGTTTACTTTCGTCGGTTAATCTGTTATCCCAATGGCTTCGGTTTTACTCTGTTTTGGTCAGAGTTGAGTGATAGGGTTTGGTACAGGTTCCTTTGAATACGTTTAATCGTTTCTCTTCGATTTCGAATGTTATTGTATTCAGGAAGCTCTCGCCCAGTGCTCCATCTTCGTCTTCGACTACAACGGGACGAAAATATTTTTATTTTCTTCTTTTGGTCGGTCCAATGGACACGGTTCTTCGCGTTCGTTAATTAGACGAAGGTGTCGATATAAGATTGACGGACCAAGTCATATTTAATACTTTCACTGGCAGGATTCCTCTCCTCAGATTATCCGTTGCTCAACGGTTGCTCGTGTCCATTTTTAAAGTAAACTTCACTTGAACAGAATCCAAATTTCACTTTTCCAATTACGATCACTACTCAGTCTTTATTCAGTTAAGATTTTAGATTACACGAATATTTCCACGCAATGTTACGTTTCACTTCTTGTTCGATCTTCTACCCCTAATAAAACTCTAGCCCAACCCCTTCCAACCCCTCTGTCGTTTGCACTTTTCTGGATCTTCACCAATTTCACTTTCAAAATTCACCTAACACGGACTATCTATACTTCATTGATCGTCTTCACTGTCCACAGAATTTCACCCTCTTTCGAAACCACCCCTTTCGATGATTAATCTCACTCAAGATTCCGATATACACTCAAGCTCCTGTAAATTACACAAATGTCTATGAAAAGCTCCGATCGACACCGTGTTCGATCTTCCACCTCCGAAACTCCGTAACCAACCCCTTTCAACCCCTTCTATATCAAACAGTCGTCTGCCAGTTTCCTGAATCTTCACTAATCCCCACCGTCAAATCAACCTAACGAAGACACGAAATTTCACCAACCATTTTTCACTTTCCTCAGAATTTCACCTTCCCTCAAACCCACCCCCTTTGATAAATAATCACACTCACGATTATTAGTACATTAAAATTCCCATGAACCGCAGGAATGTCTACAAGGGAGGTTCTTTCTTCGGTCAAAAGTTCAATTCACCACTTTCTGATCGAGGTTCCACCCTTTCCTTTTTTATTTTCTTCCTCGTGCATACCTCTGACGCTAATTATTCCACAACCTCATTCACCCCCACCCCCGTGCAACCACTCGTCCGATTGAATTTGTTCCTCGACGAGGAATGTTTCGACAGTGTTCCAAACCAGGTCCGTTTTCTACTCCACGACGCCCACTTCCGGTTCACCTGCCGACCGACTCGTTCGTGCACACCCCCGTGTCGTCGGTCTGGTACCGTTTCACGAACACGGTCGTCGTTCCCATTTCCGTATCACGATTTCACTGCACCGTGGAAAACACGCTGACGCAGCTCATTTGATCCTCGTTTCCCTTCCATCTTTCATCCCTCGCCTTCTCCCTTTCCACCCCTCCAAGGGTCGAACTATGGAATTTCTTCCACTGTATCGCCTCGATCGTAATTTTTGGTGGTCTTTTTCGTCACTTTATACGGAATTTATTTCACTCGAATTGCTTGACTCCAAGGTTGCCCTGGAACCACCCCCTTCGAGTGTAATTTTTCAATTAATTAACGACTTCTTCTTTAGTCTCGCCACGACTGTAATATTTTTTATGCATTCTCTTTTATTTTGGACGTTCGGTTGATCTTTCGGAGCTGATTCGACGAGCTAAGTAAACCCTTGAGACAAAGAACCACCCCTTCAGAGTCTAGATTCTCGAAAGGCGGTAATTTTTTTTTATTCGGGTGTCGCCTTCATATCAATTCTTAATATTTTGCTTTTTTTTTTCCTTTTCCTTCACTGTATTTCGTTATTATTGATAGGAGTTATCGTGAACCATTCCTTCCGAATGCGAAACCACCCCCTAACTCCACAATTCCTCTATCTATTGTGATTTCCTTCTGCAACGCTACCTCGAATCCGCTTTTCGACGTTTGTGATTTTTCTTTTATTTTTCTCAAGTCGATCGACAATTCGACGTTATCGTGACGCACCTCCTCGTACCTAAAACCACCCCTAACTCCACAATTCCTCTATCGATTACGAATTTCTTTTGTAATGTTCTGTAATTCGCTTCTCAATGTTTCTTAATTTTCCTTTATCATTCTCGAACCTTGACAGGTACCAGTAACCACGACGAACCCCTCCAAACCTAAAACCACCCCCTCGGTCAAGAATCCCACCGTTGGCAATGAAGTTTCTTATCTCGATCTTGCTTCTCAACGTTCCTTCCCTTTTATCCAAGTATTCCCCGTTGATGTTTCACTGCGAAAGCAGTTCTCGGCCGCGGTGAATGCAACCCCTTAACACTCGAAACCATCCCCCTAAGCGTCGAGTTCCACGGCGTGCCGTCTCGAGAGACTTTGGGGTGAGAAGCTACACCCTTTTATTATCTCCTTGGAGCTGTCCCGGGACACCTCGCTGATCCCCCAAATACTCTTTTCAAGCGTCAACCCTTCGCGGGGGGTGGGGGAAATCGATGGTGTTAAGCTTCGAAACCGGGGACGCCCGGCTCTCCCGACATATTCCACCCAATATTCTATCCCTTTCTGTCGCCACGAGCTTCCACTTTTTCCGGGATCCTTTTCGACGGCGACTTCTTCAAAGATTTCTCCTATATCGGAGAATTTTCTGTGTGTTTACCGATTCCAAGAGATTTTAGAGAAATTTACGCTGTAAATTCCGAAACGATTACATGGGCGATCTGTTGCCTGTCGAGATCTTCATTCCATCGCCTTTTCCTTAAAACCGATTCTCAGGGATTTCAGACTATTGAGAATTTCTTTTTTTGTTTTTCACAATTACGATAAATTTCGATCGTATCACGAATTTTCGAAGGGTATTTCGATTGCTTTTCGTTCCACGTGAAATATATTCCAGATTTAACGGTCAGGTGATTTTCGTATATATCGCTGGTATTTTCTTTCGTCGGTCAAAATTGGTTTTTTTCTAAAGCGATTTTTAAAGCTAGTAGATCAGGTAATGATTTCTTAATACGTTGCGAGTTTTATGAGTATTTTAGGTAGTTTCGTCTGCTACAAAAATTATAAGAATTTTCTTTCAGTCCTTTTAATTAAGATCCCATTCCCCTTGGATCTCTGCTTTTAATTCAGATTACCTCCGAACGATTGTTCATCCGAATCGCAAAGCCTTTAAGTACCTTCTCCGTCACTTCTGTCTTGCAGGTTCAGGATAAATCTTCCCCGTTGATCCGTTCGAGATCCAGATCCTTTCAGCGATTATATAAATTTCTTTACCTTCGACACAGATTTGCAATTTTTCGGAGGTCTTTCCTCGTAACGATTTTCCGATCCTCTGTAACTTTGGTCGGACACTTTGTGAATTCTCCTTTTGCACTTCAATTTCCCTAGACGCGATTAATTTCCAATTACTTGGTGAACATCGAAGATAATTTCCTGCTTGATCCCCCTTCCTACGACTTTCTATTCTACTTTGGAAAACTTTTTCTCCGTGAACCGAATAGTTGAGCTCTTGGTTGACTTTATCTTGAATCGGCACGAAAAAAGTCTACGGAATTTCAGACTTTTAATTTCCACTTTCGAATTGTTCGAAATATTTTATCCACTTTTAACGATTAACGTCAACTTCTTGCAGTTTTTTCTGTTAAATCCTACACGGAACTCTGTGTTATCCACTCCGAAAGAAATAAAGTTACACAAGATTCACAGGATTCAACAGAAATTCTTTTACCAGCCCTTTCTCTGTGGCGAAAACAATTCTTGTAGTCTCTTCAAACTTCTCGAAACACACGATTCACGACGTCGACGCTGTGAACGGTCCTCAATGATCTATTATCCCAGTTTGCAGTATCGAAGGAAGTATCTTCTATAAAGAGACAGCTGGTACACTCGACGAAAAACTTTCTTCTATTCACCACGAAATCCTAACACAGTCTCGACGATGTCTTGATAAATTACCCTCAAATCTTAATGAGTCCATGCAAGATTTCAGCAGATCCACGCAAGTTTTCGGCGAAACCACTTCAGATTTCATTAGATCCTTTTAAGATTTCAGTAGATCCACTTAAGAATTCAGTAAATACACTTAAGATTTCAGTAGAGCCACGCAAATTTTCAGTAGAGCCACGCAAATTTTCAGTAGATCCACTCCCACGGTTTCAGTTGATCCACTTAAGGTTTCGGTAGACATACGAAATATATTAGTAGATGCCCCCCGAAATCTTGTCCCACGTTATCGAAAACGTTCGATTTTTGTAATTAACACTCGAACTATGTTTAACAAATCACGACCACGATCGTTTCGATGCACACACGCGATCTATCGGAACGACGACCAAGAATGATGTCTTCTTCGAACGGTGATGTGCGTCTCCGGGTTCGAGCGATCGATTGGGGTTATGGGATCACAGCCAGGGTTGTGTAGTCGCGGGATTGTCAGTCTCTCTCTTCCTCCCGTCAGTCTCGTCACGGTGTCGGCCGTTCGCTCGACGCCCGACTAAATAATCTTGCGACACTTGGCGCGGTGCGTGTACCTCAGCAGTCGGAAGCGCGTCTCCTCCTCGATGCGCTTCGCTCGCATTATTTCGACAGAGGCGTGATCGTGTCGATGTCAATCGGGACCGCCACGGGAGAACGATCGACGTGGTCTGTAAAGAGAGATACGATCAATCGTTTTTTTTTTTTGTTGTCTTTTTTCTTTTGGATTCTTGAGATTAGATCATTCGATTCGGGGACAGGAATTTTGGGGAAATTTTGTCGATTGAGAAAAGAAGTTGAAAATGTATTATTCACTAATTATTGACGAAATGTTGCTTATTCCCACTAACGTACGATTACTCACAGAAATATTGGACCATTCCATACGCAGGGCGTAGTTAAAATATTTAATTAAATTTAAAGACAAGGTTATTGTTTACATTTATTTCTTTCGTTTGAAACGTGCTTGGACCACACGAAATATTTGACCTTTTTAGAATGCTTGGAAACTGTATTTGAAATGTTCGAAATGTTAGGAACATGTGAAAAATTTGAACTGTTTGAGACGTCTGAATCATCCGAACACTGTTTGAATTGTTTGAACTACTTCTCGGGAGTTCAAACATGTTCGACACATTTGAAACGTTTGAAACGGCCGAACAGTGTTTGAACTCTTACAACTACTCGTCAGGAGTCCAAGCATGTTTGAAACATTTGAACACTTTAAAACGTTTGAAACGATTGAACACTGTTTGGACTATTTGGAACGATCGAACACTGTTTGAACTATTCGAACTATTCGTCAGGCGTTCAAACATGTTCCAACAGTTCGATTATTCACCACCAGTCACAACGTCACGATAATTCACCGCGAAACAGGAGACTTTTGTTCGACATCAGGACGGGATCCATTTCACCGGAACGTTCATAGAGGCGTCGATAACTCCGCGGGGCGTCGCGTCGTTGATCGCGTTATCGCGCGCGCGGACTGCCGTGTCAAATTCCCCTCTGGCCGGTTTTCGTGCTGCAATTTCGGCTCGCCGGTGTGAACGAACGAAGTGTTTAAGGACCAGCGCACCGTGCATCGCGGTCGAAAGATGATTTCGTTCACTGGGGACGCAGGGAATAGCGATGTGGAGAAGTAGAGAAAGGATCACGTTGAAATGCGAATTCGCGCGACGCTGGATTCGACGAATTAAGGCTCGCCCCCTCCCCTTCACTGTTCACAGAATTCACGTCTCTTTACTCTGACGGAATTTTTTCCTTTTTTTTTTCCTAGCCGCGGAGCTATTTTTCCGTCCTGTCCTCCCAACCTCACATTGGTCGACCACCGACGAAAATCACCGATGATAACTGCTTCGACGGATATTTTTATCCTTGTCTCACAGCTGCCTCTTCTTTTTTTTTTTTTTTTTTTTTAACCACAACGGAACGGGAAACGGAACGGCTCGTTATTACGTGATTAACCGAGTCCATTCGGAGAGGATTCTTTTTGGTCGACGAGATTTTTATCGGGTCGGGTGGCTCGATTGAAATTGATTCTTTTTCTCCTTTTGTACGGGTTCGAGTCGCGAGAACCTGTTATGTGGTGCCTCGTGGTCACCTACGTACGACTCCAGGTGCGGTTCAGATTCGAGATGAAGCTTCGTATTTTATTGTATATGTCTGTTTTTTTTAAATAATCTTTCGGTTAAGGATATGTAAAGTGAATTTTCTGCAGGAATTATGAAATTTCGTTTGTGGTTGAATTAGAAAGAACAGTTGTTGGATTGGATCAAGTGAAATAGGACGGACAGAGTCAAACCTACAGGACTGCCATGTGTTGGTAAATTTCGCTGAGGTTTCGTAACGTTTATTTTAAAGAATTCGCAAATTTGACTATTCATCATTTTTTTTACCTCATTATTTATTTTCTTCAAAAGAAGTACAATAAAAACTGAGGAATATCGTTCCAGGTGCATTTAAGTAGAAAATGATCACATTGGTCAGACCAACCGACAATAAGTTGACTTGCCAGTAATTTAACTGCTTTTTATCTATTTTCTTCAAAAAAAGTACAGTATTGTACGCCAAAAACTGAAGAATATCGTTCCAGAAGAATAACTGACCAATGGAAGTTACAGTATACTAAAAAGCAGTTATTCACAAGCACGATTCCTTATGTTTTCCAAATTCTCTATAAATTTAACTTATTTACTATCGACAACACATCCAAAAACAGCTGCTATCCTGAACCAATTGCTACCTAAATTAAAATGAAAACTTCATTTAAATGAAAACTCTATCTAAAAATTGAGCCCCCGACACAATTCCTTTCTTCCGAAAACGTCGATGAACGTTCTACAAAAGAACGCATGTAACGTAAACGCTGCTATTAATTACGTTCCATTGTCCACGAACAATGTCTCGGCTAATCAGCTCCGTGCGTCAAATTTGTCGCAATAATTCCCCCCGCGAAGCGAACAAAACGCGCGCGGTATTCGACGCCATCCCCTTTATCTCCGAACACGACGGACTACTGCGAGACCAAGGATGAACCCGAATGGGACCACGGATTTCCACAGATTACGATGTGTGCAGAGGTATTTCCCATTTTTTTCCCCCGTTCTTTTTCGTTTGTCGCGGATATATCGAGCCGTTTTATTTCCGGCCCGTATCGTTTCGAGACCTCGTCGGAATGGATCCTACAATTTTCGAGGTTTTCATGTTCGATCCACGCAAAGGATTATGCAGCACGATCGATTTTATCTTTTCTATCGGAGAGAGGAAGGGAAACAGAGAGTAAGAGGGAGGTTTTAACGTACCGTTGGAAAGTATCCCCTCGACAAACGATAAAACGTACGAGAACGCGATTATTAACAAGTGTCTGACAGTTATCGGACTCGTACCACTTATATAACTAGTGGAATACCTCGCATATAGTCGGACACGTCGAGGATTCGTCTATTTTAACACATCAGCTTGAATTATTTCTGCACACAGAACCTCGAGCACCGTCGGACAAATATTAAATAGAATCCCGTCTGATAGTCACTAAAAAGTAAGCACCGTTCGACCATTACAAAACTTCCACTACTGGGGTCCAGTAGAGTAAACCTTCCATGATCAGACAGATTAAAAAATCGTTTATTTTTAACATACGAAATTGAACATTACCACTGCGTTGATATTTAGAATCGATTCCTCTACTTCATAAGCGCCCAGGTTCGGTCCCAATTTTCCTGCACTAATCGAACTTTCACTGTACTACTTGAACCCCTTTATTTTTTACTCGTAGTCCTTCCTATGTTCTGCGTTGCTTTTACATTTAGAATAGACTCCTGTACTTCATAAACTCCCAGGTTCGGTGCAAATTATTGCCTGCACTAATCGAAGTTTTACCGTATCACTTTAAGGATCGATCAGCTGTTACGTGCAGTTTCGGTCCGTTTACGTGCCATACAGTGGCGGCACGAGTGATTATTTACGCTTCCCTGGAAACGTGCAGCAGTTTACGAGACGGGACGTGCACGCGTGTATATACGGGAGGGGGGAGGGCTGTATTTTACACAAAGGACGAAGCCCCGCAAATGACGGATATGCGCATGCATACGGGATGAGAGCGTGTCATCGTTGCGATATTATAAAATGTGCCACCGGCGTTCTCGATCCCCTCCACGCAGAATCGAAATTGTTCGGGTAAGGAGGGGTAGAGGGCGTCGGAGGATGATGGAGGGGTTGCTTTTGACGCGGAGAACCCGAGGCTCCGGCTGAATGGTTCTTCCCTCCCCCCCCTTTTTCTTGGGCAAACTGAGCACTCGCGGATACTCGAGCACGCATGAATACGAACGGGAGAGTCGGTGGATGCTGTTGGAAAATCAAACGTGGCTCGTTGAAATATTAATATTCGTGATTCCTCTCGAATCCCTCGAAGCGTCCCCAGATTTCTCGGTTACTCCCCAACACTTTGACTCGGCGTTCGACACACCCACCAGAAATCACGCGTGTATATTTTTCTGTGGTTTCTTATTATTTTGTACCTGCTACCTTCGATGTATTTATGTATGTATAGTCTACAGGACTTCGCGAAATTCGATGAAAGACGAACGTTTAATACGGATGCACAGAGTTTTCTATTTTAATAATTTCAATTCCGAATAGAGAGATACTTAACCCTTTTAAATACGGTTGTTGTAACAGAAGAAGAAATATATTCTCGTAAATCAGAATTTTCGGGGTACCGAAATTCCCTCACTGGCCATGCACCTAATATCCACGTAACTAGCACTAATTCGGTCCAAGAATGTCTAACCAAGACCCTAACCTCTATCATCTCTGTGATTCGTCGCACAAATTTCCCTCGAAAATGAACCAAAGAGATTACAGAGACAGAGAAAGGGAGAGAGAAAACAGTAATTACGGACACGATTCGGAAAACCGGGGGCCATTTTGTAACCCCTGCAACGAAGAACAAATTCGTGGCTTGGGTCAAAAGACAGAGAAGGATGTGCGGGGATGTTTCGTCGACGGATTTTCATTCAGTGAGAACAATGGATTCCAAAAGATGGCTCGTGTCTCTCTCTCAGTCCCTCTTTCTCTCACTCTGTCGAAATATGTAAACGCGCACAAAGGTACCGTGCACATTTGTCTGTGTGGCTTAACACAGAAGACAGAAAACCCGTTCCTCTGTCCACGGTGCTGTGAAAGCGTTCCGTCTATTAATTAGCCTTTCCTTTTGCGCACAACGACGGCGTAAGCGTGCGTGGCAGAGCGCGTAGCGAATTGTTTACGTGCATAACCGCCATCGCCGACCCCCGCGGGACACCTGATTAACCAGCACGAGTTACCTCGGAAATTAAATGTCAACGGAACAGACTGGTGACGTTCAGCGGAGAAAATATTTTATTCTGTCACCTTTGCAGATACTAAGATAACTTGGGTGTAAGTTTTTTCTTGCACAGAATGAGTAGTCAATAAAAAATTCTATCTTAAAGAACTCGTTACCTATTAGTTGTATCGAAAAACGTTTTAGTGAATTATACAGTACATTAAGGGACGATACACATACTACTCTACTAACAGCCAGTAACAATACAAACTCGAATTAATTATGGAAATTATTCTTTTGTCTATTTACTGATATAATACTTTAGTTACTGCATTGGAATAATTCCAATCTGTTACTTGTATA